TTTACATCTTGTTTAAAAATCCTGTTTGCCACATCAGTTTCATGCCAGTGTAGTGTGTCCCACATAACAGACAACTTGTGGCCACTTGTTTCTTGAGAGGATTGAGGCTCTCATTTTCTCTCAGGTCTACGTCTGGGGTTACAATGGAAACGGGCAGCTCGGACTTGGCAACAGTGGCAACCAGCCAACCCCTTGCAGAGTGGCAGCTTTGCAAGGCATCCGTGTCCAGCGGGTACGTCCACTGTCAGTTTGTGTGCGTGTATTTTTAAGCCTTTGCTGGCAAAGATACCATTGTATTAAAAACAGATTTCTTGGCAGGATGAGAAGTTTAGCTGCTTGGATGTCTTCGTTAAAGGAAAGGTTAAATCTCTTTTTCCTTGAGTTAAATTGCAGCTGTTCAGACAATTTCTGTTCCAGGGCACTGTCACACACCTTTTGGAATATAAATCGTTACAACATTTCCTGAGGAAGCTTTGGCAGGGTGTACAAGAGCCTTAAAAGCCTTCATACCCTTTGACCTGTATGTCTGCTCCTAGGGAATTTCCCTGAGGAACCAACAGTTCCTGTAAGTCTCTTACAGAATTAGTTAAGAAGATGTATATAAAATGATAACTTTAATAAAAAACAATAGGTATAACGTAATTTACTAATCAAATAATGAGTTATGATTAGATAAATTATGCCAGCTGTGTAGGCTGGAGATGATTTATACAAGGAATTTTTAATGATATGGGAAAGTGCTATGTGTAATGGTAAATAAAATACAGAACTGCTTATACAACATGGTCAGTAAAAATGATGCTATAGGTGCATATCTGTCTATACAGAAACAGAAGAAAAAGCCTCAAATCTTCAGAGTACTTACATAATTTTCATTTTGAACATGTTTTACTTTTATAATCAAAAAGAAAATAATTATTAAAAAATACAAGTGGGCAGATCACAAGGTCAAGAGATCAAGACCATTCTGGCCAACATGGTGAAATCCTGTCTCTACTAAAAATACAAAAATTAGCCAGGTGTGGTGGCGTGTGCCTGTAGTCCCAGCCACTTGGGAAGCTGAGACAGGAGACTTGCTTGAACCCGGGAGGCGGAGGTTGCAGTGAGCCAGGATTGTGCCACTGCAGTTCCGGCCTGGTAACAGAGTGAGACTCTGTCTCAAAAAATAAAACAAAACAAAAAAACGCCAAACCAAAACAACAACAACAAAAAACAAATGTCTGTTTCTTACATTCCCCTCATACCCCTTGATATCTGTGAGCATTGAAGCTACAGTGAACTGGAGCAGAGCACGCCAGGGGACTCATGGCAATGTTACTGCAGTTCTGGCCCACGTGTTCTGGAAGGATATTGGTTAACTTAATGCTTGCCTCTATGGGTAGGCTGCCTCTTCCTTTTTTTCATATTTGATTCTTAACCTACTTTGTGGAAGCAGTGAAATATTTTCTTCTAAATATTTACTTCTATTTGCAGGCCTGAGAGGATTTTTTTTTTTCCTTCCAGGTCGCCTGTGGCTATGCACACACATTAGTATTAACAGATGAAGGCCAAGTGTATGCTTGGGGTGCCAATTCTTATGGGCAGTTGGGCACTGGCAATAAAAGCAACCAGTCCTATCCTACTCCTGTCACTGTGGAAAAGGACAGGTAACATGGGCTTTTTCACAGTCCCTGCACTGACTGGTCTTTGGTGATCGTGATTAAACATGACTTAGATGTATAGAGAATGGTGGGGAATGCACTGCTAGTGTTAAAATATTATTTAACAAGAGTTATTAAACAATTATTTAAAAGCCAATTCCATTGGCTTTGGAATTATTGGGGAGGTTGATTGTATGTTAAATGTGCTATTTTCACTTAGCCATATTTCATCCCTACCTCCAACAGCTATGCTAAGCAGACTGCAATGACTAAACTTGCTACAGCTATCCTGTTGTTACTCTTCTCCCCTACAGGTCACCCTTTTGCCCTCCTCCTCTTCTTGTTTTACACTGTTAAGGAGATGTCAATAACATTCAAGGTCACTCTTCCCTGGCTTAGGAAAGGTACCTTGCGTGGGGTATAAAGCTGGTCACTTAGCTACATAAAATACTTGCTGGTTGAAAAGGATAGGATTATTTCATTGCTTTAACTCCCAAGCTGCCACTATGAGGAAGAGTAAAATGGTTGGGAAATTAAGACTCACTTTTGTGCACTTGTTTGCAAGGTTGTGTTATGTAATTAGCACATGCAGAATTAGTTTACAAGTTATTCTGATATTTTTGAAAGCCTTTGGAATTTCTCAAGCATGGTCCAGATCGCTGCCTTTTCACTCAGTAGTATAGAGCAAAAACGTTTCATTATCTTTTAAACCAGGGTTGCAGTCATTGTAGAAATGAATGCTGCTCTTTTTACTGCATATATCTTTATTATATTTGATTTTAAAAGAAATATATAGAGAAACAGATTCACTTGTACTTATATGCAGTTCTTTTCTAATTTTTTGTTGGACTACTTAATAATGAAGATGAAGAACCAAATTGTCATTTTTCAACTGCCTCAGTTTTCATTTGAGTATTGGGAACTTGGCTAACTTTCTTTTTTTTTTTTAATTTATTTTATTGCATTTTAGGTTTTGGGGTACATGGCTAACTTTCTTTAACCTATGTTTTAAAAGTTTTATTTAACTGATTTAACATAGGCTAATTTTATAGGTTAAATACAACATTTTTCTCCGAAAACCTTAAAATAAGACCCCTGGCCCCTTCAGAATTGGGAGGAGAGGCAATAATGGAGGCAGGACGTGGTGCAGGCAGATGCCTGTAGCTGTTCCTCCGCACATCTTGTAAGGTGGCTTAGAGCTTCTCAGAAGAGAAGGGACAGTCCTGAGGCTTTGAATAACCACAAAATGCCTCAGTTGGTAGGGATATTTAATATTTAAACTGAAAAACAGAGTTAAAGGATCAAGTAAAGATAGCATGGACATAAAAACGATTGATTTGTATGGGCTCGTTATTTTTTGTATTTTTGTTTTTTGAGACACAGTCTCCCTGTCGTCCAGGCTGAGGTGGTTCCATCACGGCTCACTATAGTATTGACTTCCCAAGCTCAGGCAATCCTCCCACCTCAGCCTCCCGAATAGCTGGGACTACAGGAGCGTGCCACCATGCCTAGCTAATTTTTTGTGTTTTTTGTAGGGCCAAGGTTTTGCCATGTTGCCCAGGCTGGTAACCCCTGGGCTCAAGCGATCCTCTTGCCTCAGCCTCCCAAAGTGTTGGGATTACAGGTGTGAGCCACTGTGCCTGGCCTGGTGCATTAGTTTCATGGTGCTCCCACACTTACTCAGAACTTTAGGATATCTGTCCCTGGTCTCACGGAATCTGCCATTATTCCCCATCAGTGACTTGCTGCCTTGCACTGCTGGTCCCTGATCCAGAATGATCACCTAGGGCTTCTGACTCAGGTTCTTATTGGCAGATGGATTGTGGGGCATCAGGTGGGAGAAAGAAAAAGCAGCAGAGAAGCAGATAATGGGAATGGAAGCTGTGTGAGTGCCAAGTTGCTTAACTGGGCATTGAGAGTTATCTATTGCTTTTGTCTTAAACTACAGTTATTTTTGAATTATAATTTGGCTATAAAAATTATGGATGGGCTGCATGCTCACACCTTTAATCCCAGCACTTTGGGAGGCTGAGGCAGGCAGATCACTTGAGGTCAGAAGTTTGAGACCTACCTGGCCAACATGGTGAAACCTCATCTCTACTAAAAATAAAAAAATTAGTTGGGTATGGTGGCACATACCTGTAATCCCAGCTACTTGGGAGGCTGAGACAGGATAATCTCTTGACCCTGGGAAGCAGAGGTTGCAGTGAGATTGTGACACTGCACTCCAGCCTGGGCAATAGAGTAAGGCTCTGTCTCAAAAAAAAAAAAAAAAAAAAAGGATGAATGTTTTAAACGAGATGTTCCTGATTTTCTCGGTTTTCCATGCTTGAATTTCAAGTGGTAATTTCTGAACTTACACATTTTCAACCGGGCACTCCATCACGGGCATATTGTGAGGGAGGGGCTGACAGGTCCGTGCTAGGACTTGTTCTGCACTTCTCCACCCTTTCCACTGACAGGAAACTCAAGTATATGTCATAACTTATCCCTCGGGAACCCTGGAGCCTTACTTCTGACTCTTCTGAGGCCCATTACAGGAAAGCCTGACTAATTAGGAACTGTATTGAATGCGGGTGGGATGGGTTTCAGTTCTCAGTTACCTGTTCACAGAAGTGGGAAGGAAAAATCTGTCTACGTTGTTTTCTTTGCTGGAACAACCATCCATCCAAGGGGAAACCTTTTAAATCTTCCCCAGAAAAAGATTTTATTTATGATGAAGAATACTGATATTTGTCAGCAATTTATGTTTGCATAAAAGTAAATTTAATGGTTAAAATGGTTGTCTTCTCCCTAACTCAGTCATCCCCAATTTTTCTGAAGTTTCAGTTCCTTGGGGCAAATTGCCCAATATTTGCATCTTTGTTCTTAGTGTTCCCTAGCAGCGTATTTTAAATTAAACTGATATAAAACTAACTTTGCCTTTAATTTCTGACAATTCTTCCACTTTTGAGGTAGTCAGTACAATACTTGGGCTCTGACAAAACCAAGATTGGGAATCCCCGCTGCGGATCTGTCATCCTTGTTGTTTCTCTTCAAATATTCTTCTCCCTCACAGATGACCTTTCTCCCCTCCTCGAGGTTTTCTGGTTTCTATTTTTTCTCACTCTCATTTTCTTTTCTTTTCTTTTCTTCTTCTTTTTTTTTTTTTTGAGGTAGAGTTTCATTCTTGTCACCCTGGCTGGAGTGCAATGGCGCAATCTTGGCTCACCGCAACCTCCGCCTCCTGGGTTCAAGTGATTCTCCTGCCTCAACCTCCCGAGTAGCTGGGATTACGGGCATGTGCCACCACGCCCTGCTAATTTTTCTTTTTTTTAGTAGAGATGGGGTTTCTCCATGTTGGCTAGGCTGGTCTTGAACTCCTGATCTTGTGAAGCACCCACCTTGGTATCCCAAAATGCTGGGATTACAAGCGTGAGCCACCGCACCCAGCCTCTCTGCTTTCTCATTTCTAGTCTTCGTAACCAGTTAGCTCAGTGGTTGTTGTGGATTATTCCCTTGAGGTGACACAAAACCTGTTTATTACCAACATGTAGTGATTTTCTTTCCCATTAAGATTGGTTACAAAATAAAGTATGAAACATGCCCGACACCCCAGCAGTGAGCGGTTAGCTCAGTTGATAGTCATTGTCTGTTGCATGTCTGACTGGAAAATTGGAAGGTCAACGTTTGCTGCTTGGTATCAGTTTAAAAACTGATGACCTTAGGTAATGGCAGGGTTCCTTAGTGGTTGCTTGGGTTGCAAGCCTAGACCTGAAGGTTTCTTCTAAACTTTCTCCACGCTCATTCCTGTAGCAGCTACTGCAGCCAGCCAAGCCTGCGCCCCACCCCTGACTTCCCATGTGGAGCTGGGTGTGCCAGGTAAATGTCACAAGGCCATGCCCGGCGATGGCCAGCATCACACGGCCTTCCCTGACCCACCCTTTGGCTCTGTCCCAGCCCTTCTCTAGAAAGAAGTCTCCCACTTCAGGTCACCAGCTGCTCTAGGGGCAGAGGCTACCCCGTTTCATGGATGCTAATAATAACAAATAACTATCTCAGAAGGGAACATAGGAACTGCATGATTTGGCTTTTCTGACGTTGGGGAGATCAGTGAAGGATGTCGTGATGCTTCAGTCACTGACATTTTTCACAGAACATTACCCCAAAGTACACAGAAACGATTCAAAAAATGTAGACGTCTTTGCCTAGCAGGTCACTGCAGAAGTGCTGGTAACTGAAGAAAGGAAGAGCAGTTCATGAATGCTTATCTCAACGTTGTTCGTTGGGCTGCCCTCACCTCCCCTGCTCCCTGAGAATACCAGATGGCTTTACAATGGAGGTGGTTAAAACACCGAAGGCCTTTTTTCCTTTTATTAGTGGCTCAGCTGACCGTACATCGGCCCCCACACTCGCCACCTGACCAGCGCGGCCTCAGCCTCCCTCAGCACTGCCGGCTGGGGGTTTTCTTAGACTTCCCAGACTTTTCTTAGACTTTCTTAGACCTTCCGCTCCTCTCCCTCCCCTGCATTGACACCCGGGCCACCCTCATCACTCCTTGTCATCCTAGCCTGCATTGGCCTCCCTGGCCAGCCTTCCAGATTGTTTTTTCTCTCCCTTGCAGCCTGTCTTGCACACTGTGGCCAGGCCATTCTTTCTGAGAATACCATTTCCTCACCTCATGGCCCTGTTAACAAAGCTGTTTCCCATTTGCCTATCACATCAGATCCTATCAGAGCTCTTTGGCTCTGGATTAAAGCTGATCCCACTGTTCCTGGCAAGCCTCGTTGCCCTCTGATCCCAGCGTTGGCCTCCGTCCTTGTCAGGCCTCGTATGATGCCACTCTCTGCCATCCTGCTGTTTCCAGCTCTGCACGTTTGCTCCTGCGTTTCTTTCTGCCTCATAGGCTCTTATTCCAGGGCTCTGGCCAATCCAAAGCATTCATGGCCCAGTTACTCCCTTTTACTTGGAAATATTCCTCTGAGAAGCCCCCAGGTGTTTTTCCTTACTCAACATAGTACTTGTAGTCAGGGCATACTGATATTATTTGGGAATTATTTGCAAAGTCACAGATCTGGACTTCTCTCTCCAGCTGAATCATGAGTTCCTCAGGGCGGGCTCACAGTTCCTTAAGGAGCTGGTTAAACACTTTTAGTCACGGCAAGAAGCCTTTTTCACTTCTCAGCTCTGCCGGGAACTTGTTTCATGTATGCGAAACCACAGAGAATTGCCGCCTGTATCCTGTTCCCCCTCACCTATTTTTTTTTAAAGATGGTAAAGCTGTTTATAAGAGTTTAAGTAACATGGCCCTAGAACTACCCTGTGACTCTGAGCCCCGTGTCCTGCCCACAGCACCAGGCCATGGAGACAAACCGTGTCCCTACCCTCACGTCTGCTTGTAACTTAGGAGGCTTACCAGTAAAATCAGTGGTAACAGGACATGTACTTCTCTTTGGGTAAATTTATTCTGTTTCTTTCTCCCATTTTCTTTATTTGTTGGAAAGAATGTGCTGATTGAGAAGCCAAATATTACTAGCCATTTTCCCCATCTGGCATGGTTCTTTTGCATAGCACTGGATTAGGCCAATGGACTGGCCTAACCCTGCAAATAGCAGGAAACGACTCTTCTAGGGAAGGTCTTACTAACCTGACTTGATCACTGAAAAAGCCAATTTGCCACTTAAAATGCTGAGTAGTCATCCTCACATAGAGAAGCCTCTATTGTCATGCAACCATTTGCACACAGACATGGTAGCTGGTTGGCATTAAACGTTTGATCATTCGATTTTCACACCAGCCCTGCAACTTGATGGAACCAAGGCTCCTAGGGACTAAGTGACATTCCCCTAGTAACGCAGCATAGTGGTAGAGCGGGCATTCAAACCTAGGTTTTGTTTTCCTTTGAGCTGAAATTATAAGATAGATAAATAAACCAACCAACCTAGGTTTGCTTGACTCCAAATCCTGAGCTGTCTACTGTGGGCCATTATAGCCTGTTTTCCTCTAGTATTTGTGGGTGGTTTTCAAGAGCTAAGACCGATCCTCTAATAAGTCAGTGAAATTGCTGCACATGACAACAGCATGCGTGTCTCACTCTCTGAGGCGAGCCGGCACAAGCTCCAGGTTCTGTGATGATGCCTCCCTCCTGAATTGGGAGCAGCTGCCTAAAGGAGGCAGTGAAGGATCATCCTCACCCTTCAGGTGCTAGCCCATGCCAGTGGGGTCTTACACACCTCTCCTTTGTTCTGTGCTGTTGAGTCTTCCTCAGTTAGTAAAGTCACCCACAAATTATGTTCAGTAAGACAGACACCATGTTACGTGCTTAGAGAGAATTAAGTCAGTGATTCGGCCTGCCAGGACCTGGCCATCTCGCTGAACAGATGAAACAGATGCATGGAACAGTAACAGGGCCAGGCTGGAGTGGTGTGGACGGAAGGACTGCAGAAGCTCAGGTGAGGGGGAGACCTCAACCTCGGGGCAGTTTGAACTGCACCTTACAAGATGGGTAGGGTTTTTAAGGCAGAGAGAAAGAACATTCCCGAACAACCATGTATGAAGACATTGAAGGGCAATGAGAAAGCCTGTTTGCTGGAACATAGGGTGTGTAGACAAAAGTGACTTGAGAGCTGGCTGTCCAGAGGTGATGCCAAATCATGGATGCAGTTATGTCTGTGTCAGAATTTTGTCTGAGGGAAACCACTGCCCGAGTGAGAGGTCTGATGAGAACGGTGTTCTAGGAGGATGGTTAACTTGCCAGCACTCTGTGAGTTGGGGCAGAGGAGAGAGTCTAAGGCAAGGGAGACCTGCGAGGCTGTGACCAGGGCCAGATGCAGGGTGTGCCTGATCCCCCAGTGGTGGCTGAGGGCAGACGGTACAAAGAAAGCATCTTTGTTTTTTAGCTGGATATTCTGAAGGATGTAGTAAATGAGGAGGGAGAAGTCAGAGATGACCCTGAGGTTCTGGGCCTAAGTCTCTGAGGATGCTGATACCATTGTCTGCTGTAGTAAAACAAAGATGGGGACTTCCCCTGGGTTAAAAGCATTTATCATTTTTCTTTAAGTATATGGTGGCTTATTCTGATAGAAAATAAATTACTTCCAAATTAAGAAGACAATGTTTTCCTTTAAGAAGTGTTCTGAGGCGGGGCCTAGTGGCTCACACCTGTAATCCCAGCACTTTGGGAGGCCAAGGTGGGCGGATCACTTGAGCTCAGGACTTCAAGAGCAACCTGGGCAACATGGTGAAAGCTTCTCTACAAAAAATACAAAAATTAACCAGGTGTGATGTCTTGCACCTGTAGTCCCAGCTACTATGGAGGCTGAGGTAGGAGGATTGCTTGAGCCTTGGAGGCAGAGGTTGCAATGAGCCAAGATAATGCCACTGCACTTCAGCCTGGATGACAGGGTGAGATTCCTCTGTCTCAAAGACAAAAAACAATGTTCTGAGAACTACCTCCCCATCAGTCATGAACTTAAAGCAGTAGAGTCTATCACATGGTGATCCTAGAAAAGTGCTCTCCTGAGTTCCAGATCACACAGTCCAGTGTGGGAGAACTACTTGAATTTACTCTGTGTAGTAGGAGTTGTTAGGACCCATATCATGCTAAAAATCCATTTACAGTGAAATCTTCATTGAAATATTTATTTATTGGCCCTCGGTCCAGATGGCCGAAATGTTTATTATTTTCTTCAGCAAGTAATATTGTGGGGTAAAAAAAATTAAGCCACCATTTTTTGGTGGGGGGAACACTACTGTCTTGGGTTATACTTGAATTTCAAAACAGGATGGCTTATATTTTTATAGGCCTACTGGCTGGAAGTGCTACAAACAGATCTTCATGAGTTATAAGTACTGTACCATTGAAGTGTGGCTTAAATGTAAATAAAGTTTTCGTGCCTGAAAATTCGAAGATGAGATGTATGAGTCATGTGGTATTTTTTTTTTTTTCTTTTCCTGACCCTTTTTGTAAATTTAATTTTATGATATACCACATCTGTTAAACCTGGGGGGAGGAAGGTACAGCTTGTTTCTGCCCCTGATCACTGTGCTTATGTGGTATGTGTTTGTGAATTTAGGATTATCGAGATTGCAGCCTGTCACTCCACCCATACGTCTGCGGCCAAGACGCAGGGTGGGCACGTGTACATGTGGGGCCAGTGCCGGGGCCAGTCCGTGATCCTCCCGCACCTCACCCACTTCTCCTGCACCGACGACGTGTTTGCCTGCTTTGCCACTCCCGCCGTCACGTGGCGCCTCCTCTCCGTGGGTGAGCTGGTCACTGTCCATTGGGGGATGGCCCGAAAATCTGAAAAAGAACTCAGGGCTTTTACTTTGATAGTGAGGATTTTGTTAGGTGCACTATCATAATTTATTTCTCTCTGATGGGCTTCTGCAAAAGAGAAAAAAATTTATTTTCTTAAAAACATCAGAAACCAACATCAATACTAAATTTCTGTGGAGGTGGGGTCTTGCTGTGCTGCCCAGGCTGGTCTTGAACTATGGGCCTCAAGCCATCTTTCTGTCTCCACCCCGCAAAGTGTTGGGATCACAGGTGTGAGCCACTGTGCCCTGCCCTTATTTTACTCCTTTTAAATTTTACCAAGAAACTGTGTCTTTTACTTTAGCTAGCATATTTACTCAAACATTCTAAAATTTCATTCAAAATTCGTGATGCGGCTTGGGACTTTTTCTTGTTATTTTGCCAGATTTATAAGCAGATGTGTGTGGGATTCTTATCCTTAATGATAACAGAGATGCAAATCTGTCTTTAGGGGAAAAACCCCATTGCTCAATTGCTCAGTTATTTTGAGGAAGTGGTATTTTCATGAACATCCGTAGAGCAGTGCCATATCCAGGCCTGCAGGTTCATTATGTCTGTACTAACTCTGGAAGCATTTGCATTATTCTCTTAGAACCTGATGACCACCTCACAGTGGCTGAGTCGCTGAAGAGGGAATTTGACAACCCCGACACTGCAGACCTGAAGTTTCTGGTGGATGGAAAGTACATTTATGCACATAAAGTCCTTCTCAAGATTCGGTAAGGAATCATTTATTTTGAGAGTTGAGAAAAATCATTCATTCAACAACTATATTTTGCACCTTAGTAATAATGAAAAAATGTAAGCTGTTTTTGCCCTTACAAGCATAGAGTGGAGCCGGAGGAAACATATGTGAAACAAGAAATAACACAGGTTGTGTGTGGTTCGGGGAATCGGTACCATCGGCGTTCCTTAGGCTTGAAAAGTGGATTGGTCACCTTAGCAGCAGGGAGCAGCCAGCACACACTGCAAGTGTGTCCAGTGCTCTGAACACTGTATAGATACTTGGACGTCCATCAGTTACCCTCTCTGCCTGGGAATCAAGATCAGCTCATGATAATCACTTTCTTTAATCACCTGTGGGATACTGAACTTTTAGATGCTTTATAAAAGAGAAGATCAAGGTCTTTCCAGACCAAAAGGGGCTGTGGTGAGGCTAGCACGGACATTTTAAAAATCACATTTGTGAACGTTTCTGAGCAATGAGCTGTATGCGTTTCAGGTGTGTAGTTTGATGAGTGCTGACACATGCACTCGCCTGTGAAACCACGGCCCCACATCCAGATAGAGAACATTCCCATCACCCCACAAAGACCCCTCATGTTCTAGCCCTGGGCGACCATGGCACCTTCTGTCACTGTAGATTAGTTAGCATTTTCTAGAACATACATAGATTGGATGAAACGGGATGCATTCGTTTGTGCCTGGCTTCTTTCTCTTACATGATGATTTTGAAATTCATGATGTTGTTGTGTAACAGATATTTAAATCCTACCGCAGTGAGTCACAAACTCAACGCAGCATTTTAGTCTCAAGTTTCCCTTTAGTAAGGTCAAGCTGTCAACGTTTGTTCACTCTCACTACATCACATCAACCTGCATGAAGGAAGGCAGGTGGAGTGATTTGCTGTAACAAAGTACTACAGGCTGGGTGGCTTAAGCAACATAAAGTTCTGGAGGCTGGAAGTCCCAGATCAAAAGTGTCAGCGGCATGGGTCTCTTGTGAGGCTGTGAGTGAGAATCTGTACCTGGCTCTTTCCTAGCTGCCGGGGCTTTGCTGACAGTCTCTGGCCTTCCTTGCCATGTGGCTGCTTAACTCCAGTCAGCATGTGGCATTCTCCCTTTGTGCATGTCTGTGTCCAAATTTACACCACCCCTCGCTTTTTTTTGAGATGCCATAGTCTTGCTGTGTTGCCCAGGCTGGAGTGCAGTGGCCGCCATCTTGGCTCATTACAACCTCTGCCTCCTAGGTTCAAGCTATTCACTTGCCTCAGCCTCCTGAGTAGCTGGGATTACAGGCACCCACCACCTCACCCAGCTAATTTTTGTGTTTTTAGTGGAGACGGGGTTTCATCATGTTGGCCAGGCTTGTCTTAAACTCCTGACCTCGTGATCTACCCGCCAGCCTTCCAAAGTGCTGATATTACAGGCATAAGCCACCGTGCCTGGTCCAAAGTTCCCCTTTTTATAAGGATGTCAGTCACATTGGATTAGGGCCCACACTAGTGACCTCCTAATAACTTCATTACCTCTTTAAAGACTCTCTCTCCCCATAAGATCACATTTTGAGGTATTGGCCGTTTTAGGACTTCAACATATGAATTTTTAGATGACATCATTCAACTCATAATGGAGTGAGGAAACAGAATCACTCAGATTTTATAAAAATAAACCCACTGATTTCTCTAAATGCTAATTAGTGGATGTGGTGTGAGAGAGATGCTGGGGAGCCCAGCTCTGTCCCCAGCAGCATGGCCACTGGGGCTGCTTCCTGGTCCACCATGGCAGCGGGTTTGCATATACCTGAATAAATGATTGTTTGAAAACTGAGGCCAGCAAGGAGAGTGAAGAGCCACAGCAGGGACGGGCCAGTGTGCACCTTTGAGAGAAGGATGTGCTCCTCACAGAGGCCGTCTGTCCTGGCTGGGAAGGACCTGACATGCTGTTTTCTTCCTTCAGATGTGAGCATTTTCGTTCGTCGTTGGAAGATAACGAGGATGATATTGTAGAAATGAGTGAATTTTCATATCCTGTTTACCGGGCCTTCCTGGAATACCTGTACACAGACAGCATCAGCCTTTCTCCTGAGGAGGCAGTAGGTAATTACCAAAGACTTAGGAAAACTTGGCAAAATGTTGAGGAACTGAGAAGGTAGTTTCTATAGAACCTAAAAGAAAGTTGCTGTGAGGGTAATTACGTAAGTATTTCTTTTTGTGTGTGTTGAATCCAAACATGTTTCCCTTGTTACGACTTCATACAAAGGCTGATGGGACAGGTAAGAGACAGAAGTACCGAGTCATCACCACTGCGGAGCATTGCGGGCAGCAGCATGGAGGAAGGGACAGAGACCAGGGGCACACAGCAAATCCCAGTGTCTCTACCAGGAGGGGCCTGGGAGCTCCACTTATTTCAGACCAGCGACCAAGTCAATGAAGTCTGTGCCCAGCAACTTAGGAGGCTGGGAAAGTGGGCATTTCCAGATGGCCATAGGTCAGCCAAAAATTACATGGTTTCAGAAGAAAGGAAGAATGGATGTGTGTGTGTGTGAGAGAGAGAGAGAGAGAGAGAGTGTGTGTATGTGTGTGTGTATGTGTGTGTGTATGTGTGTGTGTGGGGGGGGGTAGGGGTCATGGGAGAGGCACCTAGCAGCTTCTGCCACAGGAGAGATATGATTTGTGTTTAAAAGATCATTTATTATATTGGCTCAGATGTGAGATGATGGACTCCTGGGTTGGGGTTGTGTAGCAGTGGAAGTGTTGAAAAGAGATCAGATTGTAGATATATTTTAAAGATGTTGCTGATGGGATTTGTTGATGGATGGGATGAGAGGTGTGAGTTGAGAGAGAAGGACAGCTGCACTGAGGTGCTTGGCCTGGGTAACTTCTTAATGGAAGTCCTGTTCACTAAGATGAGGAAGATGGAGAACAGGCTTGCTCTTGACGTTGAAAGTCAAAGGAGTTTCAGCTGCCCATTAGATACCCAAGTGGCAATTTTTTATAGGCCCACCCCTAAAATTTGCAGGGCTCTGGCCAAGACTCCACATGGAGACCTATGTTCCATATAGCTTCATTGTTTTCAGGTGGGCTCCACCTGAAGCAAGGCATCTGCCTCATACCCTAAACTAAAATAAAGTCAGAGTAGAGAAAAGAGTTCATGTGTTAAAAAAAGGAAGTAACCACAGTACTAGACAACATATAAGCGAGTATTTCTATAACTTGGGGTGGACATCAAAGGCAGAAGCCATAAAGGACAGGATTTATAGCTCTGGTTTCAAAAGATAAACTTATCCATCTAAAAATACCATAGAGAAAAATTTAAAGTTATATGTCAAGCTCATGAACTTCAGATAAAATATGTTAAATCCTCCCACCTTGAAAAATGTTCATTTCATTAAGAACCGAAAGGACACATTTCAGTTTTAGTTGGCATTTAGAGTTGCGAGACGCCTGGAGTTGTGTGCCAGAGCCCAGTGGCACAGGCAGGACAGATCCCTCCTCCAGCAGAAGGGTGTGTGGGTACCCTAGCTTGCATGTGCAAGCTCTACTCACCCCCAACCCAGGTTACCCTTTTGGGTCAGGGGGTCTGCACATTGGTGGTGGGCACTAAGGGAGGAAATACCCACACATATGGCCTCAGGGCTAGTTATGCAGGCAGTACCAGGTTCCCAGGTATCCAAAGTGTGATCTAGAAGTGGGCATGTGTCTCCTTGCCACCCTGTGCTGAGGGTGTGTGTGGAGGAGGTGCAGAGCTGGGGTTTGGGGCAGAGTCCTCTCTTAGGGCAATGCTGCTGGCTTGTGTGAGTCTGAAGCTTGGGGCCAAAAACAGTGAAGCCATTCACAACTCTCAAGATTTCAGAAGATTTCAGTGTCCTCCAATGAGCTATCTGTCTTTCCTCTATAACTTTGATAATATTTCTTACACTAAAAAGCAAGTTTCCAACCAAATTCTACCACATGTACAAGATTTATTAGCAGATAGACACAAAAACAATTAATATGGTAATTAATTAAAATGCTGAAACCTTAGCTCT